TTGGGTCACCTTTCTTTGCAATGGGAACAAATATAGATCTCTTCCAGTCAGTTGACCAAGTGGTTGTTCTCCAGATTTCTTGACACAATTTAGTGAGCACGTCCAGGCACGGAGAAAATAAGTAGACGGGTTGATGCCACAGAATTTCCGGTGTAAGACAATACATATATGTTGTTGTTGTGATGTGCCGTTGAGTAGCCTGCGCCATAGCAACCACCATAAAACCCTGTTCTATCCTTTGCCAGTCTTATTGTCTCTGACTAGCCTATCCCCATTACCCCAGTGACGGAATCAATTCATCTCATCGAGGGTCTTCCTCTCCTGTGCTGTCCCTCCACCCTCCCAAGCATGACGTCCCTCTCCAAGGACTGAACTCGCCTTGCAAAATGTCAAAAGTATGTATGTATGTGTGTGTATATATACATGAAAATTTAATCTGCAGCTCTCAGGCCTGGTTTTAATTGTTTTTAGTCAAATATTCTTTTAAGTGGTATAGCACTGGTCTGACCATTTGCTGCACAGCGGTAACTCGTGGTTGCTGTGATGTTAAACACTGTGACATTGATGTGTCAAATGCGATAATGGTCACCCATAGTGGACAGTGTTTGGTGGAGCTCCCCGATTAAAACAAGCTTGGAAGCAGGAGTGGTATCCTGTTCTGAAATAGCTTGTCTCTGGAAACTCTATGAACGTAGAGAACCAATGAAAGCTATACAAGTGTTCAGGTCTTCCGTCCATAGAGTCTCAATGAGTTGTCTATGACTTGACGGCACCTAACAACAACAACACTGTGGAAACTAGGCAAGGGACAAAACAAGGCCTGTACTGTTAAATCTGAGTCAGCAATGACAGTGTGCTCAGATGCTGGTTTCTAAATGCATTGCCTATAAATAGGAACTCTTTTTTTTTTTGCACTGGCTGTACCTTTATTATTTTTACCTTGTTTAAACAGGAACTCTTAACTGCTCATATTGTTGCACCAGAAAACAGTGAACCCTTGACAAACGGTTGTTGTTTGTGTTTGGGGTTTTTTTGGTTTTTTTTTCCCCCGGTCAAGTCAGAACCGACCCATAGCTGAACCTCCAGTGAGTTTTCAGAGACACTAAAAATTGTACAGGGACTTGTGCGTTACCTTGAAGCATCTTCCACTGGCCAAATTTGACAGAATCTGAGTATCTAAAAGAATACGGATGATAGCTGACTACAAAGAATTCAATAAGAAAAGAAATCCACATATACATAGATGTTCTCAAGAATGAATGGATGAATTAACGTGGAAAGAAGGTCTGTTCCTCACAGCTGCCTTCAAGTCAGCCCCTGACTCATCATCGTCCGACCCCTTGCACAACAGAGAAGACATTGCTCAATCAATCCTGCATAGTTCCCACAAAGGTTGCAGATTAGACCATCGTGATGCACAGGGTATGAGGAGGGCTCCTTATTCTACCTCTTCATCTTTTCTTGGGAATGAGTAGTATTCTCATGCATTTTGAGGTTCTCCATTGACACCTTTCCCTCTGATTCCCTGACCTTTATTGATTAAGAGCACTTAGATGCAGAGATCCCTAAACAGCTGAGTCTGTTAAGTGCCTTGCCCACTCTCACTCACTTCCATCAAGTTCATTCTGATTCCTAGCAACCCTCCTTTGGGTTTCCAAGGCGGTAAATCTTAGCAGCAAGAGATTGCCCACCTTTCTCCTACACAGCCATGTCAGATTAGCAGAGCAGTACACTAAGCACTGCACCACCAGAGCTCCTTTAAATGCCTTCCCAGGATCACAAAAAGAGAGCTGAGACTGGAACGTAGTCTCTTGGCTTCCACAGTAACACTAGCCTTCCTCTTTGTGCTCCCCCTCCACAAAAAACAAAGGAAGCAAATAATAAGAATTTGGAATTTAACTTCAAATTCTCAGGCTTTGTTTATATACAAAACAAGTTTCCAGCAGTTTGAAATAGTGAAGCTTCTGGATATACGAATTTGTAATTGAAGAATGTACCAGTACAGTTAGGTAACCCTACTATAGTTAAAATTTAAATTGTACAAAAAAAAGTTCAAATAGTTCCTTGCACATAGTGAGAGCTTTTTACTGTTAACATGAAAATTACTTTGCTGCTTTCTATTTTTCAAATTTTCTTTTATCCAAGAATCTATCTGGAAAGGAAGGTTTCTGCACACTTAAAAAAATTAAAAATTGCATTTAAAAATATCTATCCCTGAGAGGGGCTGGGATTATACCTGAGAAATGTTTTAATCCTATCTCTTGGAGGGCCAAAACTTAGGTTATCACAGTAAAGTTGTTCATTATCTACCACTGAAGAATTGTGAATACTTTTCTTTAACTCACTGTTTTCAGTAATTATTTGACTTGATATCCCCAAGTGCTGAGGACTTTCGTTCATAGGTTCGCTATGAGTTGCCTACGACTCAATGGCACTTAACAAGAACATCCCCAAGGAGCAAGCCCATGTACTCGACTGAAAAAATGTACTTGGAGGAACTCTGCTCTAAATGAAAACTGATGAGTTTGCATGGTTGAACAAGCAAGATCAAAAGGACGATGAAATTACCACTGTTTATGATGACACCACTGACACAGTCAGCAGCTTTTTTGAATTGCATTATAAATCAAAAGCATAATCAGGAAATACTTTCCAATTGTCTTCTGAAACTCAAAGCATTGTCCTCAAACAATCTATAAATATTTTACTTTAAGACATTCAATCACTTTCTCACTATGTTTTTAGACTTAAAATATATTCCCTACTCTCATTTTCGAATCAGAAATATTTCAGAATGTATGTCAATATAAATTCCACCGCTGTCTTCCAATAGATAGCAAACATTCTTCTATGTGGTTTATGACACTCACCTGAGTTGTAAACATGGAGTGCTGATCTTGGACAAGGCGCTTTCTCGATTTGGTAGTTGTACATGTCAACTGTAACTTACCCTCCAACACACTTTTATATAAACCAGATTAAGCAATACTGTATGACAGCACTGTTTGAATGAAGCAACTCAAATAGAGCTTGATGAATATATTAGGAAGTTTGAGAGTACATCTCACCCCTATAGACAATTTAAGTCAGCGTTTTCATTTGCCTTCTTTTAGCTTCTTAGTCAATGGTTAATCTTCCTTCTGAGATATTTATGACCTGACTTTTATGGTATGTTTACCTAAACAGGGAATATTCAAGGGCACAGAACTATTTCATTGCCTTTCTCTTTTCTACAGAATTTTTAATGTGTTTTTTTTCTAATTTAAAAAATGACAGCTATGCAGTTGAAAAATTTGCAGGTGACATGAAAGCTCATTTACAATAGATCCTGATTTTCTTTATCTCTGTTTGGAAAGATATACCCACTGATTTTTATAAGAAGTGGAACCATACTGCAAAAATTATATTACAATCTGCCTTTTCCGTTTCCAGTCAACATGATCTCATGAATAATCCCACACGCCAGAAAACATTGTGCTGTTTCCATGGGGGTTTTCCTTCTTTCCCGCCATGAATAGCTAGTGTTGCAATTTACAGGTCTCCCTGTGTGTGTGTGTGTGTGTGTGTGTGTGTGTGTGTGTGTGTGTGGTGATTCTTGGGAAACTTTTGCAAGTTTATTGGTAGAATAAATATTTAGTAGTGAGCTGTCTGGGTGAAAGGTACAGGCATTGTATATTTTATTAGATATTGTCCACTTGACTTCTAGAAGGCTGGTGACAATCCACGGTTCTGTCAACAACTCACTTGAATGCCTTCCTTCTTCCACTTCCATAGCAACAATAGGCATTACTATCTTTTGTAGGCCTTTTTTTTCTTTTTAGTTGTCATTATCTTTTGTTGTTGTTGTTGTTATGTGCCGTCGAGTCGTTTCCGACTCATAGCGACCCTATGCACAACAGCCCTAAACCCTGCTCTATCCTGCGCCAACCGCACCGCCTCTGACACACCCATCCCGATTACCCCAGTCACCATATCAATCCATCTCATAGAGGGTCTTCCCCTCCTGAGCTGTCCTTCCACCCTCCCAAGCATGATGTCCCTCTCCAAGGACCCGTCCCTCCTGGAAACATGTCCAAAGTATGTCAGACGAAGCCCCAGAATCCTTGCCTCCAAGGAGTAGCTTGGTTTAATCCTCTCCAAGATGAATCTGTTTGTTTTCCTGGCAGTCCATGGTACATTCAGTACCCTTCTCCAGCACCACAGCTCAAAAGCATCCACTCTCCTTCTGTCCTCCCTAGTCATTGTCCAACTCTCTGATGCATAACAAGCGATTGCAAATACCATGGCCTGTATCAGGTGCACCTTAGTCTCCAGAGAGACACTGTTGCTCCTGAGTACCTTAGAGAGGTCCCTAACAGCAGACTTTCCCATCGCGATACGCTTTTTTATTTCCTGACTGCTGGTGCCAAGAGTGTTGACTGTGGAGCTGAGCAAACTGAAGCTGTGAACACTCTCAGTCTCTTCGTCATCCATCCTGACGCTGCCAATTGGTCCAGTGGCGAGAATCTTTGTCTTCTTGACATTGAGCCTCAGTCCATACTGAAGGCTGCAGTCCTTGACCCTTCGCAGCAAGTGCATGAGGTCCTCCTCACTTTCAGCAAGCAGGGTTGTGTCATCTGCATAACGCAGATTGTTAATAGATCTTCCACCAATCCTGATGCCACAATTCTCCTCATAGAGCCCAGCCTCTCAGATAATGTGCTCTGCATACATGTTGAAAAGGTATGGAGACAGGATGCATCCCTGGCGTACACCCTTCCCAATTTTGAACCATGCAGTGTTACCCTGCTCTGTTCTGACTAAAGTCTACAGAAAAGTTGGATTTTCATTCACTCATTGTTGCACATTTTCCTCCCTCCCTCTTCATTCCCCCTCCCCAGTTAAATTTTTTAAAATTTATTATTTTGTTGTTGTTGTACAATTTCTTCCCTTTCTCCCCATCCCCTTCCCCAGCCTCCTCAGCAAAGCGTCCCTTGTTCCGGATTGTTGTCATATGAAAAATGTCTAATCATATATCCCTTTCAGACAGTTTTTCCCCTCATCTGTTCCACTCCAGTGTTTGTCATCTATACACTCTTTTCCTATTCTCTGCCCACTCTACCCCTCCCTGTCTGTCCTATTTTATAACAGCAGTGTTATACAGTATTTGTCCTTTCGTGACTGAGATATTGCACTCAGTTCTCCAGGCTCCCTCATGTTATATAAAGCTTTATGAGTTTATGGTTTTCCAATGCTGCATAATATTCCACTGTGTGATTGTACCATACTTTTTCTATCCATTTGTTTGTTGTTGGGTATTTGGGTTGCTTTCATCTCACTGCTATTGTGAAGAATGCAGCAATGAACATTAGTGTGCATGCGTCTGTTTCAGTTGTGGCTCTGATTTCTTTAGGGTATATTCCTAGTAGTAGAATTGCTAGGTCAAATGGTATTCTATTTCCAATTTTTTGAGAACACGCCAGGCCACCTTACACAGTGGCTATACCATTTTACACTGCCATTAACAGTGAACAAGAGTTTCAATTTCTCCACAACTCACCAGCATTTGTTATTTATTGTCTTGCTGAACTTTGCTGTTGTTGCTGGGGTGATATGATATCTCATAGCTGTTTTGATTTGCATCTCTCTAATAATTAGGATTCTTGAGCATTTCTTCATGTGTGTGTTTGTCATCTGAATGTCTTCTTTGGTCAAGTGTCTATTCATATCCTGTGCCCATTTTGTGATTGAACTATTTACCTTTTTCTTGTTGAAATGCTGGAGTATTCTCCCAATTTTATATTTAACACCTTTATCAGATATGTCATTGCCAAATACTTCCCCCAGTCTGTGTTTTTCTTCTTACCCTGTTGGAGAAGCTTTTTTATATGCATAGGGATTTGTTTCTTAGAAGATCCCACTCATCTATTTTATTACCTTCTGGCAGGTTTTCCACTGTGTTTGAAATACTATTCATGTTGTGACATAGGGCTTCTAGAGTTCTTCCTAGCTTTTCTCTAATGAAGTTTATAGTCCTTGGTTTTACTTCTAGGTCCCTGATCCACCTTGAGTTGGTTCTGTGAAGTGTGGGTTTTGCTTAAGTTTTCTGCAGATGGTTTCCCAATTTTGCTGACACAATTTGTTAAAGAGACTGTCATTTGTTCAGTTAACTGATTTAATCTCCTTATCAAAGATCAGTTGAGCATAGTACAATGCTGTCTTGACCACCACAGCTGTGTAGTAGGACTTGAGATCAGGGAGTGTGACGCCACCTACCTCATTTCTCTTTTGTCATTCTCTTATAAAATGTTTGCCTTTCTGAAATGTGGACAGTCTTGTTCTGAATATTGTTTCTTTAATTTAATAAGAATGAGCATCATCTTGAAAAATTTATTGTCAATTTCTGTAAATTACATTTATATGCAGTCTTAAATTAAGAAATTAAACTTTTGTTCATTTTGTATATTGTCATTTTTCTCCCCAGTGCTATTCATTTGAGATTGTTAGTGACTTTTTATACCAAACAAGAGTTTCCAGATATTATGTAGTAAAATTTAATCCGTTTTCTTTTAGAATATTTGAGCTTAGTGTCTTGCTGGGAAAGACCTTTCCTCCTCTCATATTATAAATAAATATATTTGTGTTTTAAAAGCTTAGCATTGAAAAGGAGGCATGCTGATTCCAACAGGAGAGTGGAAATAAGGGGATATGAAATATATAGCATTTGGTCTGGAGATGTACACTTGAGAGTCTTGTAAATAGCTTCACTTTTCCAATTACTACAGGCCACAAAAGGAGTCACAGAGATTAATTAAGCAGTATAGAGGTTGGATTGAAATTTTGAGGACACATGAGAAAATTCTGAAACATCTATTGAAAAATATTTTTTAAAAACCCAAAATTTACAACACCAAGGATTTTCAGTTGCTTCCTATACATATGAAAGTTGGCCAATGTCTAAGAAAGCACACTGAAGAATTCATGTTTTGATTTGTGGCATTGGTGAAGATTATTGACTCTACCTTGGACCACCGAAAGAACAGACAAATGTGTCTTGAATGAAATGCATTCAGTGCACCCTGGAAGCAAGGATGGTAAGACTTTCTCACACACATTTAGGATATGTTATCAGGAAGGCCCAATCTCTAGAAAAGGGCAGCTTGCTTTTAAAGCAGAGGGTCAATGAAAGAGATGAAGACCTTCAACAAGATAGATTGGCATAGAGTCTTCAATAGTGGGTTTGAGCACAGCAGAGACTATGAACATGGGCCATGACTTTGTTGTTGTGTTTTACTTAACGTTGCATTGTATTGGGAGTCAACTCAATAACTCCTAACACAACAAAAATAACTATGAAGAGTAATTGAGTAAACTTAAGGGCATCAGTTCCTGGAGATGACCATCATATCTGGCAAAGTGGAAGATCAGTGAAAAAGAAAAAAATCCTCAATGTAATGGATTAACACAGTGGTTGCAATATTTAACTCAGAGTATTAATTATAAGGATGACAAAAGACCGTATACAATGTCTCATTCTGTTGTGCACAGGGTCTCTGTGAGCTGAAATGGACATGACAACACCTAAAACATGAAGATTAAAGAGTACAGTTTTCAATATGGATTGCATCTCAATGTAAAGAAAACAAAAATCCTCACTAATGGACCAATAGGCAACATCATGATAGATGGAGAAAAGATTGGGACTGTCAATGACTTCATCTTATTTGGATGCACAGTCAATGCCACTGGTACCGGTAGTCAGGAGATCAGAAGGTGTATTGCACTGGAAAAGTCTGCAGTCAGGGACCTATCCAAATTATTGAGCAGCAATGATGTCCGCTTGATGACCAAGATGAGCCTAATTCACGGTCTTATCAATCACTTGCTGTGCATCTGAGAGCTAATCAATGAATAAGGATGTAGAAATGAATAAGAAAAAAATGCTGCCTTTGAAA